GGTTTCTGGCCATTTAGGCCTTTGATAGCTTCTTCTGCCTCAAGCCGCTTGTCAAATCGAATAAACCCTACACCCCTTGATATGCCAGTGACTTGGTCAACAAGAATACGTGAAGTAATAATGCGTCCATATTGTGAAAAAAGCTGTTCTAACTCCTTCTGGGTCATTGTTTTTGGAAGTCCACTGACATACAAATTTGCATCTCTGATAGAAGCTGAACTTGGGCGAGCATAGGAAACTTTTATTGTTTTGGTTTGAAGTCTCAATCCATTCAGAGTGTTGATAGCTTTCTCTGCATCCTTGGGGTCGATGTAGTTCACAAAACCATATCCCAAGCTCTGCCCTGTTATTTTGTCTCTTACAAGCTTACAGGACTCTATCTCACCAATGCTCCCAAAAAGACTCTTTAGCTCTTCCTGTGTCATGTTCTGAGGAAGATAGTTGACTATTAAGTTGGTCTTGCTGTCCTCTGTATTCCCAGAGTCAACTGGTGATGAGCAGTTGTTGTTTATGGTGGTTGGACCATTGGCTGTGTTATTGCAAGTTGGCCCATTAGACAGTTGTGTTTCCATGGCAGCAATTACCTGCTGCTGTGACTCGGAGCTGCAGCTACTACGGCTCGTGCCGCTGGCCGTCAGCACAGCCGCGGAGGAGTCGCTCCAGGCGAGCTCCGCGAAGAGGCGGCGGCGGGAAGGCGGACTGGAGCCCGGCGGAATCTCCGCCCCACCCGCGCCGGCGACCGCCCTTCTCACCCGGCCGGCTGCTGCCTCAGTGCACATAAGTCTTATAAGTAAACATAGTGAATGAATAAATCTCAGGAAAAAACAATGGAAAGAAATATGGTGATGGCAGAAAAAGAAAACTCTAGATAAAGCTTGACCCAATCAAAAGGTGGCATTTGCAATATTTGATTTTATTGCAACACACATATTTATTACAGAAACCCCTATAGGAAAAATGACTTTTATTGAACTTGAATCCCAATCTTGATTCATGATAGAGAGGCTCCGGCTGTTCCAGTATAGAACCCAGGTGCACTGGAAATGTGAGCACCTGCCTCTATCAGCATGACCTGGGTTTCCATCCTTAGAGCCACCAGAAGCAAATTCTTGCCAACTTTTGTTTCCTGTCACCAAGGTTTAGTTAACACTGAGGTTCAGTCTCAGAAGATTGCAAGCCACAGACCAAACTATTTGTAAAAAGTCGGGGACAAGGGGAACATTTTTGTTTATGAAATATTCTTTTTAGGCTCAGTGCCCGTAACACAGTGGTTATGGCATCAGCCACATAGTACCAAGGCTGGTGGGTTCGAGCCTGGCCTGGGCCTGCTAAACAACAATGGCAACTGCAACCAAAAAATAGCCGGGTGTTGTGGTGGGCACCTCTAGTCCCAGCTACTTGGGAGGCTGAGGCAAGAGAATCACTTGAGCCCAAGAGTTTGAGGTTGCTGTGAGCTGTGATGCCACAGTGCTCTACTGAGAGCTGCATAGTGAGACGGTCTCGAAAGAAAAAAGAAAAAGAAATATTCATTTTACCAAGCAAGAAGCTATGATACCAGACTCTCTTGGTTCAGTGATGGACAGTTGGCAACCTAGGTAACAAGGTGTAAATGTCCTAACAAGTTGTGATATGCTGAGAGAAGGCACATGATAGAAACTCAGCATTAAATCCCTTCCAATTTCCTGATTTCTAGTGAAAGGTGGGAAAGAAAGGGAGAGATGATGAAGAAAGGAGGAAGTTAGAATAAATTCATTTTCAAAGTTCGGCACTAAAAGAAAAGTTAAACAACAAGAGCTAGATAATAAGAAGCCAGGTGAGGTGGCTCACACCTACAGTCCCAGCACTTTAGGAGGCAGAGGTGAGAGGATCACTTGAGGCCAAGCTCAAGATGAGACTTTGCTTTTAAAAAAACTTAAAAAGTTAGCAGGGCATGCACCTGTAGTTCCAGTTATTCAGAAGGCTGAGGCAGGAGGATCCCCTGAGCCCAGACATTTGAGGTTGCAATGAGTGGTCTCACCATTGCACACCAGCCTTGGGGAGACCCTATCTCAAAAAACAAAATAGCTACAGAGGGCAACATTAAATCTATTTTTTCCCTTTTCAAGAAAAGGAAATGATTAAAAGTTTCAAGGAAAAATAAATGTAAACCAATAAACCCCACACTACTGAATTAATCCTACATTTACACGTAAGAAAATCTTTAAAAAATAAAATGTTATCATCCTTGGAGATGGGACTTAAATCTCATTGAAGACTATCATTAGAAAGCATTCTGTGGAGTAAGTATTGATTGAATATAGCAAGATGGAGTCTAGATTTGTGGACTCTCCCTTAAATTCACATCATAATGGGACTATTCACCATCTACTGGGGGTTATGGGGGTTTAGAGCAAAAAATAAATAGCTGATCCTCTGAAACTTGCAAATAGTAGCCTAACACTTTATTTTGTGCTTTTATGCTTTTTCATATTTTAATCTTTTCAGTGAGGTATAGAGCAAATGAAAGCCTATAATACCAAGGATCTAGTCTTTTAATATCTAAGGTAATGTCTTTATAAAGATGTCCTCTCTAAAAATTATAACCAAGACTTGTTATATGAAGGAGTAGGGAGATTCAGGGCTTATTCCGTCATTAGGATAAATTTAATGTTTATTTCCCACTTGACTTTTGATTACCAGTTAACAAATGTAGCCTACTTACTCTACATAAGTACTTCCAAGTTAAACAAAGCACAGGATTCACTATAAAGAAAAAATATTTCCCAAGTTTGGCTTTAATATGCTATTCTTTTAGGTAAAAAGGACAATGTTAATTTATTCACTTATATCAATTATATATCACACAGAAATAATTTATTAATTTTGCCTCCATATACAGATTACAAGTAGTTGTCGCCTTTGTATCTGAATGTCAAATACAACATTAAAAGATTAGGAGTTTCTACAAGTTATTGTAGCAAGTGAGGTAAATTAACATTAATTATTCATCTTCCTTCTTCATTGATTAGTACATTAAGGCTAAAATGCAACTATTTTGATGACAACAAAAATGAAAACAAGTATATTATCAATAATGAATAAACCTGAAAACTACTTATTCTCTAGTGATATAACTAATTATAGGCTTTTTTATTCAAGGAAAAATGTTAGATCTAAAATTTTAAACATTTAAAAAACATTAAAACTGGACTTCAATACACAAAGATGAGGTTTTCAGCTGGCATAAAACACAGGTAGAGAAAGTATTAAAAGATAGTTTCAGTTCATTACTGAGTAAAACCACCTTAAAAATCTTAAGATTTGGCTCGGCGCCTGT